AGACCCTTCATCAGAAAATGAAGGGTCTAGGCCCGAAACGTCAGCCTTTCTGCTCCTATGATGCTGCTTGGCCTGCTGTGTTCATCCAGCCCCGCACCTTGTTGTCCAAAATAGGAAGCTGGTTTTAAAAAAAGTTTCTCCATTTGGCTTTGATATTTTAAAGTGAGAAAGAATTTACAATTATTTGCCATCTTTTGGGACCATAAAGCCTTACAATGCTCTTGACTGCCAAATGAAGTGTTTTTGAAATGCAGGTGTTATTGTATTGTAGAGAGACATGTAGAGAGCATAGCCAACATCCCACAAATGACAAGGCAATAAATTAGCAGGTAATCTGAGTGCTGGATGAATTGACCTGACTCCCTGAGAGCATCTCTAACCAGAAAATCTTATGGCACTGCCTATAAATCCAAGAAAGTCGATAAAGCCTTCACATCCCAAAGATGTACAACACTGTTGGGAGGACTTTTTTAACTGCATGCAGCGGTCAGTCTCAATCATGTGTCTAGGTCTCTGGAGCTAATCTTGATCACCTTGATTTTCTGACCCCTGATGCAGCCACTTCAGGGGCAGGAGTCAACACTTTGAGGATTGTCTGTTTGGTACATCAGAATTATTGTACTGCTGTAGTCCATGGGGTATAGGCACACCCACAGTGCTGTGTGGAAGCAAATAGGACCATGAGCAGGCTATTCAACCTCTCTCAAGCATTCCGCCCCTTTAAGTAGAGGGGGAGTCAACATTGTTGTAACGCTGCTGGTTTAGTAATCCAGAGACTTAGGCTAACACAGAAAACTGCTTCGTATCCTACTGTTAGAGACAAAATGAACACTGTGGTTAAGGTCTGTGGTTAAATTGTTGAAGCCAATGTTAGGGCTGGATGACCACCAAGTTCCGATTAGAAAGAAGAGGTGCTGTTCCTTGTAGTGATTATAATTAAGTCAGCCAAGTGGACCTCATAGAGTAGACAGATAAGAACAGGAGTGCCTGTTTACTCTGAGAGCTGGCTTTGAGGAAGCCAAATCATTGTCAAGTGTTCTCCGCCTGTAAATAGAGGGTGACTTGGTGACAGGGTACCAACCTCTGTGGAGTTGTTTCACTGGCGATGATGATGTGGTACAGGCATAGCTGCATTGGTGGGGCAGTACGCAGAGTGCCTACAAGGACAAAAATTACCACCAGCAGCTCTCCCACATTTGTGGGAATGGCTGGGTAAACCCTGGACTCGGTTACACATCAATTATGGACGTCCTTCATGAGCTCACCGTTTTTCATCATGGTGGATGCCCACTCAAAATGGTTGGATATGCATCGAGTTAGTTTGTCAAACACGGGGACGACAGAAAAGCTCCAATCATCTTTTACAATGCATGAGCTCCCAGAAGTATTGGTCATAGACAACAGCCCATCGTTTATCAGAAGTGAATTCAGGTATTTCCTAAAGTCGAATAGCATTTGGTGTGTAAGGACAGCTCCGTAACATCCATCGTCCAATGGTCTGGCAGAAAGAGTAGTCCAAATTTTGAAGGCAGGCTTAAACAAACAGCCTACAGGCAAACTGTGCCAGTTCCTATTTGGTTATCAGACCACTTGTCAAGCAACCGCAGGGACAGCTCCAGCAGAGTTGCTGATGGGGAGAAGATTCCTCACCAGGTTACATCTGATATTCCCAGACCAGGAGGGAGGGTGAAACAGCATTAGGAAAACGCCAGTGCTGGCCACAAGACTCTGCTAAGTGAGATAGACAGTTTACTTCAGGCAACAAAGTTTGGTGCCAAAACAGCGGGAATAGCCCTGCATGGGTAAGAGGTATAGTTGATGCGCGGCCCCGTGAGGTACAAAGTTTGGGTAGGTGAGGCAGTCCTGAACAAACACATGGGCCATGTGGAAGCTGCAAACTCACAAACAGCGCTGGAGCAAAATGTACCTGGCCCCTCAGAACAGCCAGAAGGGCTGTTGGAATCCCTGGGTTCTCCCTGCACTGTCTAACGTCGAAGAAACCTCAGAGTCTGAGATGGACACAGCGGATGTCACAGCCTCAATGCCTTTACTGCGTGAAGAAGAGAATGAATTTGTTCCGAGATGCCCCAGGTGCAAGATTTGGGCTACAGTCCAGTATCTGAGGCTGAGTCGGAGGAACCGGACATGGTGCGAGAACACCCCAGGAAGGCTGCAAGATAAAGAACACACCTACCTCCCTGGAGGGGATTAGATGGGGAGGGATGAGGTGATTGTAATGAGTTCAGCCAGGTAAACCTCATAGAATATGAGTTCCCTGATTGGGGCTGTTAACCTGGTCCAATCAGAGAGCCCTGGCTAGCAGATGTAAACAGGAGTGTCAGACATTCTGTTCACTCTGAGAGCTGGCTCTGAGGAAGCCGGACCAGTGTCATGTACTATGGACGTGTAAATAGAGGGTGACTTGGTGATGGGATACCGGCCTCTGTGGACTTATTTCATTCCTCAGAACTGCTTTGAACTTCACACTAACAGTGTCAAACGTTTATGATCAGAGAATTTAAGTGTTCAGTGAAGCTTAGTATTGCCATTACATACGGAAGCAAGTAGCAGAGTTTTGGAAAAACTATATATGACCATTAAACGTAAATCTCTGAATTTGATGCATTGATTTTTAAAAAGAAAACTGTAAATTTTAAGTTTGTTTTTGCTATAGTCTGGAATTTCCAACCTTTTTAAACAAGTGATTAGTGTGCTTTTTCTTCACTCTGTAGTTGACCATGGTTTAGCACGACTGGTGACAGCGTATAGGGAACATGGCCACAAAGCAGCTAAAATCGATCCATTGAGTCAAGGTGTGATTGAGATGATTCCTGAAATCCAAGTTTTAACTGAAGCACTTCAGGGTCATGACCTGTTCTGCACGAAAGGTAAATAAAGGAACTTTATTTTTGTTTTGAAACAAATTAGAATTAAACGTTACTCATTCTGTCTTTCTACCTGGTCACAGGAGAGATTACAGAAGCATATCCCCCCTGACACAGGACTGTTGGTGGTGAATGCAGGATTTTACAGGACATTTGTATTCCATAATTCCTTTAAAGTGTGTATGCAATTGGACACTGTACAATTGCTGGATTGCACATTTCAAGAGCTTATAGAGGAGTTGCAGAATGTGTTGAGTAAAGAAAAATGAGAGAATTCTAAACTTTTCACAGAATCACAGAGTTGCTGTGTAGAAGGAGGCACTCAGTCCATTTTACGACTGTACTGGCTGCCTTGGTATTATGATCTGTTGTCTGGCATTTTCCCCATAACCCTGAATATGGTATTTCCATTTAAATAACCATCTAATGCCCTGTTAACCTCTTCAATTTAACCTGCCTCCACCACACCACCCGGAAGTGCATTCCACTGGTGTGTGAAAAGTGTTTTTTTTTGCATCAGATTTGCTTCTTTTGCACATTACATCAAATCTGGGCCCTCTCCTTCTCAATCCATTTTACAAAAAGGAACCGTTTTTCCCTGTCATATTGAAAACTTCAGTCAAATCTCCTTCTAGCTGCCTCCTCTCCAAGGAAAACAATCACAGCTTCTCCATCCCAGAAACCATTTTCAAACCTCTTCCGCACTCTGTCCAATGCATTCCCATCCTTCCTAAAGACTGGTTCAGAACTGTGCGCAATATTCCAGCTGAAGTCTAACTAGTATCTTATCCAAGTTCAGCATAACCCCTTTTTCATTCCTGCTGGCTGAGCAACAACCTTGCTCCTAGCTCTCTGCCACTACGAGTGAAGCCTAGAATTCAGTAAGTTTTATTAGTTGCTCACTTTACCTGGCTTTGCCACTTTTATTGACGTATACACATATACACCTGAGTTTCTGTGCTTCTACACATCCTTTTGAGTATCACCCTTCATTTTAGTAATGTATTTACATCTTCTTTCTATCAAAATGTATCAACTCATACTTTGCTACGTTGAACATTTTAGGATTTGAATAACTTAAGCTGTGCAGTCTGAAAAGATGATAACAAAGGTGCTGTTTTGTGAACACCTTTAAGTGTGAAATAGTAAAGAGAAAGTTAACTCAAAGTATTACTTCAGGATTCAGGATAACAGGATATGATGTTTAAATTGTCATTAAATTTTTCGCCAATCTTAGTGGAAAGGGGAATAAATGAATTTGTTGCAAAGAACAATAGACATTTGGAATAGTTTATCAGGTAAGATTTTGAAGTAATTGATGTTACTTGGATCCTAAACTAAGGAAACTTTGGTAAATTGAGTGGACTTTTCTTATTTTCTTTTATGTTCTTATTCAATTTATGGCTTGTTCTCAGCTTCACCATCCTCAATTGCTGATGAGAGGTTGTCTAAAAGGCAAACCACCCTAAACTGATTCACATGCAGCAATCCCGCTACTGAGTAGTATTGAGCAATGATCCAAGGCAGGTATTTGAGAACCTGTATGTTTCATGGTGTAATGGCAGAATTATTGTTTTACAACTGAGTCTGTTACTACACAGTGCCATGTGTCGGTAATGGCATTACTCATTGGCCTGAGCCAGTCCTTGAACATGTAACCATGCCAACTGTTACCATGCACCAGTGCACCAAAATGTGATCTTGTAGATGATTGATTTTCCTGCATCAGTAACATTACAATTTGTGCTGCCATTGCACATGAGCTCCCAGCAGCCAATCAGAAAAGCGCAAGTAGCTAATCTATCTCATTGGTTGCAAATACTTTTGTGGGCACTGTGATGGCAAACCCCACAAACTCTTGACAACTTTTATTCTGTACTTAAACAAGACAGTCAAAGAAAGTCCCAGATTGAATACTCAACCTGTGTTGCATTAATTGAGCTCAGCCAGTGTGGGTGCTACAATTTGTAATAGATAAACTCCTGCTCCAGATCGCTAACCAACACTCAGTCAGTATCCTTTCATGTACAGCACGGGCAGAGATCACCATTTAAATAAAAACAGATAATTCTGGAGAAAATCAGCAGGTCTGACAGCATCTGTGGAGAGAGAAACAGAATTACCATCTTGAGTCCAATGTGACTGTTCAGAACCCTCTTTTCAGCTTGATTTCTTGAATATTATTCAAGAAAGAATTGAATACATTTTTAGCTTTTACAGGCATCAAGTATTATGGCGAGAAAGCGGGAATATGGCATTGAGATAGAGATTCAGCTATGATCATACAGAATGATGTCAGGGAAGTACAGTGAACCCATGATTGTATTGAATGGTGGGGTTCACCTCATGGGCTGTAAGGGCCACTCTTCTATTTCTTGTGTTCTTGCTGTACATCACCTGTTTGATGTGAGCCTGAGCAACCAATTTTGTCAAACACAGCACAGACAACATTCAGAGATAGCAAGAACTGCAGATGCTGGAGTCAGAGATAACAAAGTGTGGAGTTGGAGGAACACAGCAGGCCAGGCAGCATCAGAGGAGTAGGAAGGTTGACATTTCAGGTCGGGACACTTCCAACATTAACCCTCTTCTCAACTGATATCTGAATTTCTGTACAAAGGTATAACAATGAACATTTTGCTCCTTATCATTGTCAGGCTCCCTTTGGTACCAAAGGTACTATTTCTTGAATGCATGCTCATCTGTTGAGCATTCTGATAATTACATTCCTGCACGGCTTTCCACAGTGCAGGCAAGGATGGAATACAATATTGTTTCTTTTTAGGACTGTCCAGTCTTTCTAGGTTGCTTTTAACTCTTTGTTATTGGAAGGAAATGACAGCAGGAATTTTAAAGAACAATATGTTTCTTTTCGATCAGTCTAAGCTTTAAAGTAACTGTCATGGGCAAACTAATCAAAAAGAAACCCACCCATGATTAGAAATCACCCAAACCCTTGACTGGTAATGGTCTGATAGAAGGGAAACTGCAAAGACTTGGAGCTTTAATTTGTCCTCTTTGGTGTGAATGCTATTCCAAAGGTTAAATAAATGGCATAAGTTAACACTTTTTTATTTTTAAATAGGATAACAGCCATGACAATGGATCAGTATAACTCCAACAGATGCTGTTAATGGAAATGTCCACCAATTGGCAGCTCTCTGGAATTATTCATCGAGGCTTAATAAAACCAAAGCAAATCTCACTCATTGTCAAATGCATCATATATGTGTTGTAGCCAGAGTAATCTCAATGGAAAAGAGAAAACCATTGAGAACTGTTGTTCATTTGCTACTTCTCTGTTAGAGAAGTTGATTCCATTCAGAAAGTTGGACTGTGGAGAGACAATGACTAAATTGTATTATCACTAGGTTATTATTCCAAAGACCCAGATAATGTTCTGGGGACCTGGATTTGAATTCCGCCATGCAAATTAGTGGAACTTGAATTCATAACACATCTGGAATTATGAGTCTTACGGTTTTTAAAATTTACTCATAGATGTAGGCATCTCTGGCAAGGCCAGCACTTATTGCCCAGAGGGCAATTGAAAGTCAACCATATTGCTATGGGTCTGGAGTCACTTGTAAACCAGAACAAGTAAGGATGGCAGATTTCCTTCCCTAAAGGATGTTAGTGAACTACATGGGTTTTCCCAACAATCAACAATAGCTTCATGGTCATCATTAGATCCTTAATTCAAGAATCTTTATTGAATTCAAATTCCACCACCTGCCATGGCAGGATTTGAACCTGAGTCCCCAGAACACTATAGCTGAGTTTCTGAATTAATAGCCTAATGATAATATCACTAGACCATCGCCATCCCCAAACATGATCATGAAACAGTTGTTGATTGTAGTCTGGTCTATATGTGACTCCAGGTCCACAGGCTCTTAACAGCCCTCCTGGCAATTAGGGATGGGCAATAAACACTGGCTTAGGTATTGATGCCCACAAATGAGGAATGGAAAAAGAATCCAACTCTGGGTCATCTCTCAAAAACTTTGCAACAGATTTTTTTTACACATTCCATGTTGGCAAAGTGTTCCCATGTGAAATTGAATAATCCGAAAGTCATGGGTACCACTGTGACAAGAAATAAATACTAAATAATTCTATAACATTTGTGTTCCAGGAATGTTAAATTTTGGGAAAGAGGTAGCCACTTTGGAGGAGGTATTGGCCTACTTGGAACAGACTTACTGCGGGCACATATCTGTCGAGATTGGCCAACTGGAGACCATGGCTGAGAGACAATGGTTTGCTCAACGATTTGAACAAGCAAAGCGGGAAACTTTAACCCCGGAAGAGAAAAGACATTTAGCGAAGCTGATGCTGGAGTCCCAGGTAACATTTATGTTCTAATAGCACGGAGAATTAGAAAAAAGGAGTGGTTCGTGCTGGAACAGGAAATGAACAAGGTTCATGAAGGATTGAAGTGACCCATGCTAGTTGCGTAGTTGATTTATTTGGGCCTTACCATTTTTGCATACTTGCCTTGGTGCTTCCATTTGGGAACTTGGATTGATAAAATACATTTGAATTTGTTTTACTGGTTTATCATTCAAAATAATTCTTTAAGTTGTCATTGTAAAAATCCACAAATGGATTGCTATCTTTAATTTAAACCATGCAAGTACTGTGAAATAGAATAGATCTTTTTGGGATTGTAGGGGTCTGTCAGAGCGCTGAAAAGGAGTGGATTTACTGGGGTAACAACATCAAAGTGGAGGGTGAAGAGAGGATCGAGTGAATCAGTTGCTGCAGAAATATTGTAGCAAACAGATACTAAAGAATGGGCAGTTGAATGGATTGATTACATTGAAGTGTTATGATGTACCTATTGGGGTCAGTTAGCTCAGTTGGCTGGATGGCTAGCTTATAATGTGAAGTGATGCCAACAGTGTCAGTTCAATTTCCACAACAGCTGAGGTTACAGTGAAGGACTCTCCTTCTCAACATCTTCCCAACTCCACCAAGTTGAGGTGTGGTGACCCTTGGGTTAAGCCACCACCATTTGTCTCGCTCTGATCCTCTGGGGCTATGGTGATATACTATATGTATATGAGAGAGATGCTGGAGAATCTGAGATGAACACAGCAGGCCAAGCAGCATCAGAGGACAGGAAGGCTGACGTTTCGGGCCTAGAAAGTTACTATCTGCTCCCTATCCCCGTACCCTGCTCTGTGACGGTATTGGTAGGGGCCACAAAAGACCCACTAAAACCTCAGAAGAGAAATGGCAGGTTAATATTTCAGAAACCTCCCCCTCTTGTTTAAAATGGAAGTGAGTTGACTCACTGAGTTTCAAATGGGCTAGAGGGCAGAAATAAACTTATTTTGTTTTCAAATGTTCCTTTTTTTCTGAATTGATTTGAGCTTCTTTCTTTTCTCTGTTCCTATTGTCTTTGCAAATTGCTTCAGTGAGAGTCCTTTCAGTAGTAACTATATCAGGCGAGCTGAAGCAGCCCCATTATTTGTTCAGCATTTCTCCAGGTAAGTGAGGCCATTGAGAAACGAGCATTTTTTTTTATGATTGAGTGCCCAGTCTCCGTACCAAGTAATGCTCATGTGAGCTACAGGAGGAACATGTCCAACAGCTGAAGAGCACCCAATAGTGCCATTGTGAATCTTTCTAATCTTTTCTCACAATCATCAAGCACCCTTTTTGTAGCCTCTCTGCGTGGGGTTAGCTAATTTATGCATTTAGCCCAAATTTGGAGTACCAGCTGAAGAATATTTTAGGAAAGAATATTTGGAGTGTGCAGTGAGTGTAATGAGTTCAACCAGGTGGACCTCAAAGAATATGAGTTCCCTAATTGGGGCTGTTAATCTGGTCCAATCAGGGAACCCTGGCTGACGGATATAAACAGGAGTGTCAGAGGTTCTGTTCCCTTTGAGAGCTGGCTCTGAGGAAGCCAGACCAATGCCAACTACTATGCACATGTAAATAAAGGGTGACTTGGTGAAGGGATATCAGCCTCTGTGGAGTTATTTCAGAGTGGACTAAGAGATGTGTTGAGCCAACAGATTAAGCTCAAATACAACTGTGAAAGGATAAAGAGCTAATTCGCTGTAACATTTTAAGTGTCAAGTGATTGTATATAGGCCATGAATTAAGTTAAAATGTTCAGATATAAAATTGATAAACAGAAATTTGCTTTAACGAGGAGATAGACATTTTGAATTAAGAACAGGTAATGAGAAATGGGCAGGAAGTCAAGTTGAGGCCAAGATGAGATCAGCCATGATTGTATTAAATGGTGGGAGTAGGGTCAAAGGGCTAAATTGCTTACTCCTGCTCCTAGTTTTTATTTACTAAACCTGACAGATCAATCAATCTCCCACACTCTTGTATGAAGATTCTCGATCAGTCCGGGAATCAAGGGTTACGGGGAAATGGCAGGAAAGTGGACACAAGGAATGTCAGACCAGCCATGATCCTGCTGAATGGTGGAATAGACTCAAGGGGCAGAATGGCCTACTCCTGTTCTTATTTCTTATGGAGTTTTTATGATGGACACATCAAATGCTATTTAGATCCATTCCTAACACCAGGATGTTAAGACTGTGCAAATCTCATTAGTGAACAGTTAGGGTTCAACATCTCACACTGATGTTTGGAGTTTTTAAGTTTGTAACCTTTTAGCAAGGGGACATTTTGCTTTGAAAATTTTCACACAATTATCCAGCTCACTCCGATGTTATTTGAGTTGATTCCATGGTGATACAAGTTATCTTTGATCTGTTGGAGGAATTATCCTGATGGACAGAGTGGATGTTTACTTCAATGAAGAAGTTTCCTTTCCAGCTTCACCAGAATACTGTTTACCTTGTCATCCTTTGGCTAATAACTTTTGTGCCCTGGTTGCGTTCAGTTTGTTTTAATAATCAAACACATTTAGGGTAGCCGATGGCCTTGTGGTATTACCGCTGGGCTTTAATCCAGAGACCCAGATAATGTTATGGGGACCTGGGCTCAAATCCCATGATGGCTGGTGGTGGCATTTGAATTCAATAAAAATGTCTGGAATTAAGAGTCTGATGATGACCATGAGTTCATTCCCAATTATTGGGGGAAACACATCTGGCACATTGATGTGCATTAGGGAAGGAAGGTCTGGCCTACATGTGACTCCAGACCCGCCATGATTGACTCTTAACTGCCCTCTAGGCAATTACAGACGGGCAATAAACGCTGGCCTAGCCAGCAACATTCTCATCCCATGGATGAATTTAAAAAAGTATCTTGTTTGTTGTGCATCTCTGAATGTTGTGGTGATTTAACCAAGGGCAGATACCCTGTGCATTTCTTTCCAACTTTTGATCTTGCAATATTTTCTCTTCAGTCACTTGTAAGAACCTCCCTTTTTCAATCTTGATCACAATATGATGAGATTAATTAATAGGCAAGGTGGTTTCCCATCATCCTCCTCGTATGCTGAAAGGAAGCTCCAGCTCACCTTTGTGAAGGATCCTCCACCTATAAATAGATGTTGTTTTTTGAGGGTCTAACTCTTTCTCAATCATTACTGAAAATTTGCTTGTTGTGTTGTTGGCCAAGTCTCGTAGACCTGAGCATGGGCCTTTTTAGACTGGCCTAGGGTGATTCACCACAGGAGACAGCCAAACACACCTCACTGAGGCCTCAATTGACCATCATATCCCAGCCCTGGGAAGTGAAGATACTGTAACTAATGACGTGTTTTTTTGTCAGGAATTTGATCACTTCTTGGCCACTAAGTTTTCCACCGTGAAACGTTATGGTGGTGAGGGAGCAGAGAGCATGATGGGATTCTTCCACGAACTGTTCCGAAATGCAGCGTTCAATGGTGTGACTGATGTGGTGCTGGGGATGCCCCACCGAGGGCGACTTAACCTCTTGACTGGAATCCTGCAATTTCCTCCTGAGGTGAGACCATTATTGGAAATAAAAACTTTCACTATGATATCACTGAAATGATGAGAGCAAATATTTTTAGGTTTGGAATCTCTAAAATCAGAATACGATTAAACTAACAACAAATTTCAAATTTTTTGTGCTTTAATGTAATAAAACACCCCAAAGTACTTCTCCAGTGCCTTATCAAGTAAAATTCAACATCAAAATACACAAGGAGATATTAGAGTAGGTGAGCAAAAGCTTGGTCAAAGCAGGAGGTTTCAAAGGCTAATTTAAAGGCAAGAAGAGAGGGAATTGCAGAGTTGAGGATCTTGACTTCTGAGGCACAACCACCAAAGTTGGAGTGATTTAAAATCAAGGATACCCAAGGCTGTAAGTCAGACTCCAGAATCGGCAGTTCCTACTATCTCTGAAAAACTTTTGCTGTCCTTTTGCGTACTTCCTGTGAATAGAGACACTTTGGAAATGATCCATTGTAACCATAGATTGCTGCTGGAAGGATTGTGAGTATTTGGAATCCTCTGCTCCAGTCTGAAATCCTTTGGATGCGGATACCGTGTAGTTGAGTGTGTCCAAGAATGAGATTGATTTTTTTTTTGGATCCCAAGGGATTGAGGGATAGTGCAAGAATGGAGGATTGATGTAAAAGCCATGATCTTGTCAAATGGTCGTGCAGGCTCCAAAGGGTGAATACCAACTTCTGAACCAATTGTTTAGGCAAATACCCTTGCACAGTGAGTATTGTTCTGGCTCAGATTTTCCATTCAATGTATATGATTCAAAAGTGAAAATGTCCATTCATTTCTGACATTGGCTTCAATTCCCCAATGAGCAATCAAAACTCAATGCTGCCTAGGTTCTGTAAGCTTGGCATGGACAAACAATCAAACCTGTGACCTTGCAGATTACATGACTTGCTGGGTACGTTTTCTGAGTCAAGGGTGGAGTTCTGTTGGTACATTTGAATCAGCTGAGTGGCCACGGAGGTTTAGAATGCATGTAACCTTTTAAGCTGATAGCATTTGTCAAAATGAGTTATTTTTGTTGATTTTTAATACAGGACATAAAGATAGGGTGCACTTTTACAAAATAATAATGAGTTTTTTTAAAAAAGATTGAAGATGAGTAACCCCAACTGGAGCCACTGACTGAGATCCAGCAGCAGGTGAGGGATGGGAGGTAGATGAAATGGCAGTGAGCAGAGTAGCCCCAAACTTTCTCTTGGTTCATCAAGGCCCACTTGGAAGTTGATGCCTCAAGTGAAAGATTTTGATTATCAGGAATGTCCATTGAACAAGTCAGGATCCCTTTTCCCTCCAGAGAAGGGGAGACTGAAGGGTAAACTTGCAGAAGCCGTTACAATTATGGAAGAGTTTGATTGGATGGATGGAGAGAAATATTCCCACTTGCAGAGGAGACCAAAAATTGGAGAGTCATTTCCCAGAGCTGGTGAGAAAGTGATCTGCCTCCCACAGGGAGTGGTTAAAGGGGCGGTTTTGGGAGGCACAGTGGCTCAGTGGTTAGCACTGCTGCCTCACAACACCAGGGACGCAGGTTCGATTCCACACTCAGGCAACTGTCTGTGTGGAGTTTGTATGTTCTCCCCGTGTCTGCATGGGTTTCCACTGAGTGCTCTGGTTTCCTCCCATAGTCCAAAAATGTACAAGTTAGGTGGATTGGCCATGCTAAAATGCCCGTAGTGTTCAGGGATGTATAGGTTTGGTGCATTTCTCATGGCAAATGTAGGCTTACAGGGAAAGTGTAGGATGGGTCTGGGTGGATGCTCTTCGGAGGTTCAGTGTGGATTGTTAGGCTGAATGGCCTGTTTCCACACGTATGGATTCTATTCTATTCTATATCGAGAAGTTGAGCATTAGCAGCAGGCTCGTCAATTTCAGTGGTACATTTCTCTGCTTTAGTGTTGTATGAATTCTGGTGGATGACAAGACTGAGAGTTATAGGGCAAGTAGGTTCATGTTGATTTTAAAATTATTAAATTTTATTGCCAAAATTTGGTAATGTTCCATTTAGTTATGAACAAGTAATATCCTTAACATTTAATAGTTGTATCTTTTGGTGTCCTGCAGTGTTCTCAAGATTGTTGTAAGGTTATTTTGTCCTTTATTGTATGGATAGGAACGGGTTTCAGGCAGTAACTACAAAGTGCCTGAACTGTGCTTTTAAGACTGATGCATCTACATCCGTTTACCAGCAATTTGATTTCAGTTCTGTCAGGAGCACACCCTAGTTATTTAACAAAAAGAGGAGCTTGTATGATTTTGACCAGATCCTCATCTGTGTCAAAATGTTGCCCCTCAGGTCCCTTCTAAATCTTTCCCCACTCCACTTAAACCTATGCCCTCGAGTTTTGAACTCCCCTACCTTAGGGAAAAGACCTTGGCTATTCATCTTATCTATGTCTCTCATGTTTTAATCAACCTCTACAATAAAGTTAAGAACCAAGAGTATATGAAACAATAATCAATAATGAGATTGTTGACATGGTGGCTCAGTGGTTAGCACTGCTGTCTCACAGCGCCAGGGACCTGGGTTTGATTCTAGCCTCTGACAACTGTCTGTGTGGAG